CTCATCTGCTGTCCCAACAACTACAGAAGTTTGAGACCAGCCTGAACCACGTTATAAGACCACATCTCGAAATCAAAAAAGAAGAGGGCTGAGCATGTAGTTCAGTTAGTAGAGTGTCTGTCTAGCATGCACGAAGTCCTCGGATCCCCAGCACTTCATAAACCAGGCATGGTGGTGCATACCTATAATCCTAGAGGTAGAGGCAGGAGGATCAGGAGTTCAAGGTCATCCTCCGCTTCATAATAAGTTTGAGGTCTGCCTGGGATATATGAGACCCTATCTCATCAAAGAAAATAACAAGGCACACGTTAATCCCAGCACTCAGGAGGTAGAAGTAAGGTGATCTCTGTGAGTTTGAGGCCAGCCTGGTATATCTAGTGAGTTCCAGGCCAGCTGGGCCTACAGGGAGACCCTGTCTCAAAAAGACCAAAAAATAAATAAATAATAGAAAAAAGCTCATCTTTTTATTTCTATGAAACCTACTAGAATACTAGTGAACCTGCAGGAGAAAGATGCTGATCACAGGAACTGACTGGTAGTTAAATGCCTGTGAGAATTAAGACTGTATCAGGGCCAGGCATGGTGGCACATCCCAACACACAGGAGGCAGAGGCAGGTGGATCTCTGTGAGTTCAAGGTCAGCCTGGTCTATATATCAAGTTCCAGGCCAGCTGGGGCTACAGGGAGACCCTGTCTCAAAAAAACAAAAAAAGCACCTGATATTTTGAGCCTGACAATCTGAGCTCAATCCCTAAAACTCAAAGTGGAAGGAGAGAAGCAACTCCTAAAAGTTGTCCTCTGATCTCCACAATTGCCCCAGGTATACACATACGTCACACACACACACACACACACACACACACACACACACACACACTTCAATTTGGGGGTCTCTTCACTTCTTTCTCCCCTATTGGCTACAAAATATTCTTGTCCCTGACCCCACCCAGCTCAGCAGTTGGGCCCAGAGGGAGGGATTCCCATATGTACGGCAGACCTGCACACAAAAAAAGACACATGTCTTTTGCTTGCTTTCCTATCCTCTTTCTCCCTCCTTCCTTCTCTTAGCTTCATGCTAAGAATTGAACCCAGGGCCTACATCACACTAAGCACTTGCTCCACCACTAGGCTATACCCCAAGCCCTGTATATACTTCTGTTTAAAAAACACCTTCATGGCTGGAGAGATGACTCAGTAGATAAAGAGCACTGGGTCTTCGCCAGAGGACCCCAGTTCAGTTCCCAGCACCCACAGGGGTGAAGTCCGTGATTTCAGTTCCAGGGGATCCTATCCCCTCTTCTGGCCTCTGCAGGTATTGCATTCACATGGTGCATTTAAATGCAAGCAAAACATTCATATACATAAAACATAAAAATAGGGACTGAAGCCGGGCGTGGTGGCACACACCTGTAGTCCCAGCACTTGGGAGGCAGAGGCAGGCGGATCTCTGTGAGTTCAAGGCCAGCCTGGTCTACATAGTGAGTTCCAGGACAGCTGGGGCTACAGGGAGACCCTGCTTCAAAAAGACAAAAAAAAAAGGGACTGGATGGGCTGGGGAGATGGCTCAGAGGTTAAGAACACTGGCTGTTCTTGCAGAAGACCTGGATTCAAATCCCAGCATCCACATGGCAGCTATCAACTGTCCATAACTCTAGTTCCAGGGGATCCAACAGCCTCTTCTGTCTTTCGTGGGCATTGCACAACATGGGTGCAATTACCTACATGCAGGCAATACACGCATACATATAAAAATAAAATATTAAAAAAAATAGGGGTTGAGAGATGGCTCAGCGGTTAAGAGCACTGACTGCTCTTGCAGAGGACCCAGGTTCGATTCCCAGCACCCACATGGTGGCTACAAACCATCTTTAACTCCAGTTCCAGGGGAATCCAAAGCCCTCTTCTGACCTCCACAGCATTGCACGACACGGGTGCACTCACATACATGCAGGCAATACACTCATACACATAAAAGAATAAAAATAAAAATAAATCAATAAAGCTGGGCGTGGTGGCTTTAATCCCAGCACTCACTTGGGAGGCAGAGGCAGAAGGATTCCTGTGAGTTCAAAGCCAGCCTGGTCTACATAGTGAGTTCCAGGCCAGCTGGGGCTACAGGGAGACCCTGTCTCAAAAAAAAACAAAAAAGAAATCAATAATTTTGAAGATCACATTCATGCAGAGCCTGGTGTGGTGACTCACATCTGTAATCCCAGTAGGCAGACACACAAAGAACATGAGTTCATGATCAGTTTTGGCTACATAGTGAGTTTCAGGCCATTCTTGGCTACTTGAGATTCTGTCTTAAAAAACAATAATAAAAACAGTGAAAACCTTTCCCATTGCTCACTCATTTTCTCCCTACCTTTTCACAGGAGTCATCTTTATTAGCTATTCAGTATTTTTTCTTTTTCCTTTTCTTTCCTCCTCTTCCTCCTCCTCTTCCTCCCCTCCTTTTTCTTCTTCATCACCTCATTTCTCTTTTGGTGGTACTAAGGATTGAACCTAGGCCCTTGTACATGCTAGGCAAGCACACTACCACTGAGTTATATCACCAGCCCTTTATTTAAAGGAAAAAAAATTTTTAAACAGTGTCTTGTTAACCGTGGCAGACCTGGAACTCACTATGTAGCCTAGACTTACCTCCCACTTGAATGATCTTCTGGCCTCTGCCTCCTGAGCACTTGGGATTACAAGTGTAAAGCACCAGAGTCTGCCCTCTAAAATTTTTAAAAATTTTGAGGCAAGGTCTTTCTAAATTGCTCAGTCAAGCCTTGAACTTGCAATCTTTCTTCTTGAGCCTTTCAAGTGCTAGGATTATAGGCCAGCAGGGCGAGGTAGGGTTTTCCACATCTGAGAAACCGGGTGGTTTGGGGTGATGAGTCTGAGCATCAGTTTCCCGGTTTTGTCTAGGGCTGCATGCATCACAACAATGTCCTTTTGGGGAGGGAGAGTGTGGGGGTGGGGGGAAATCTACTGTATCCCAGACTGGCCTCAAAGCTCAAGATACTGCAATTTAGGATTCTATTAAACTCTTGATTCCCCTCTGCTTCCAGAATGCTGGGATTGCAGGCATGTGCCTGCCACATCAAGCTTTATACCATGCTAGGGAGCAAACCCGAGGGGCTCTGCATGTTATTGCAAGCACTCTACCAAGTGAGCTACATCCCTAATGTCCTCAAAGCCTCACTGTCTTCAGAGTTGTAAGAGAACTACTTGATGGAAGGAAACGTCACACTATCCTGCCACTGAGTTGAGAGCCTTTGTGGCTCTTTGGGAAACCAGGCGGAGGGCAGGGCAGAGCTCCAGCGCAGGAATCGCACCTACACTCCAACAGCTGCGTAGGAATTTAGCTCAGGCATCTTCCCCAGGCGCGGGGGAAGGGAGCTGGGGTGGGAGGGGTTTGAGGTGGAAGAGTGTGAGAAACCTCCCCGGCGGCCCGAGCAGAGGGGCAGGGTGGGGGAAACTCAGCAGGTGTGGGGTGGGGAGGTAAGGTGACCCTAGCTTAGCGACCGCACCCAGGAGGAACGCATTCCCAGGCCTCCCGCCCTACATCTGCAGGTGACAAGCTGGGGGAAGCAGAGAACACTCCAGCCGGGTTTGCAGTCTCCATGGCGACCGCCCGCGCGGCGCCAGCCTGACAGCCCGTCCGGGTTTTATGAATGGGTGACGTCACGAGCCTGGCGTCTAACGGTCTGAGCCGCTTGTTCAGACGCTGACACCCAGCAGCCTGCGAAAGGGAGGCCGGGGAGACCCGATCTCCTCAGCTGCTGCGCGGTGGGAGGGAGACCCTGTTCCGAAGCCTTCAAGAAAAAAAAAAAAAAATCTAGAAAAAAAGAAAATTAAAAAAAAAAAAAAATCTAGAAAAAAAGAAAATTAAAAAAAAAAAAAAATCTAGAAAAAAAGAAAATTAAAAAAAAAAAAAAATCTAGAAAAAAAGAAAATTAAAAAAAAAAAAAAATCTAGAAAAAAAGAAAATTAAAAAAAAAAAAAAATCTAGAAAAAAAGAAAATTAAAAAAAAAAAAAAATCTAGAAAAAAAGAAAATTAAAAAAAAAAAAAAATCTAGAAAAAAAGAAAATTAAAAAAAAAAAAAAATCTAGAAAAAAAGAAAATTAAAAAAAAAAAAAAATCTAGAAAAAAAGAAAATTAAAAAAAAAAAAAAATCTAGAAAAAAAGAAAATTAAAAAAAAAAAAAAATCTAGAAAAAAAGAAAATTAAAAAAAAAAAAAAAAACCCACCCGCTGCAAACTTGGAAAAATTTTGGAAGAGGCTGCAAATTCGGAGAATTGGGGGACACAGTCACAACCCACCGTGGCCCTTCTGTGTATTTAGGGCCCCAGAGGACTGTCCTGAATTAATTCCCCCTAGTTCAAGGGATTTGGGTCCTAATCCTAAGGGGCTTAACAACTTCATTCCGTGGGATCTGAAAAAGATAAGTCCCGGAGTTCCGAGTAATAGAGGGGCTTTAAAATCTGACTCCCAGAATTTGTAGTAGAACGCACCTACAGCCTCAGCACGAGGTGGAAACTGGAGGATCAGGAGTTCAAATCGAGTTCGAGGACAGTCTGGGTTACAAGACACCCTGTTCTAAAAACAAAAATAAAGATATATGTAAACATAAAATTTGGCCCTGATCGTTGGAGATCAATGTCCAAGAGATAATCTTCTGAGAGGATTTGGGGACCCTGAGTCACTGCGCAACCCGGTTTCTCTGGTCCTTAAAATGGAGCTGAAAAAATAAGGCATGGGTAAAATTGGTAAAATTGGTTTAGCCTCTCTGCCTCGGCCCTGAAGAGCCTAAGGCAGCCTCCTGCTCCGCTAGCCGCTCCGCCGGGGAGCCCTCGCGCTCGCGCCTTTTCCACTAGCACAGGCAAAAACTCGTAACTCAAGGGGTGGGGCCCGAGAGCACGATAAGCCACGCCTCCAGTCTGCCCATTGGCTGCTTTTGAACATTCTGAGCTCGCCCCCGGGGCGTCCTTATAAAAGATGCGCTTCTGCGCTCCAGCTTCCGCACTGCACAATCACCTTCGGACTTCGGCTCTTTCCACGCTTGCGCGCCAACTCCGGCTTCCCCAGCCCCTTCTGCCTGTCCTCGTCGCGGGTCGCCAGGATCATGAAGGTCGCCAGTGGCAGCCCCGTGGCCGCTCCGGGCCCCAGCTGCTCGCTGAAGGCCGGCAAGGCGGCGGGTGGCGCTGGCGAGGTGGTGCGCTGCTTGTCGGAGCAGAGCGTGGCCATCTCGCGTTGCGCCGGGACGCGCCTGCCCGCCCTGCTGGACGAGCAGCAGGTTAACGTGCTGCTCTACGACATGAACGGCTGCTACTCGCGCCTCAAGGAGTTGGTGCCCACCTTGCCGCAGAACCGCAAGGTGAGCAAAGTGGAGATCCTGCAGCACGTCATCGACTACATTAGGGACCTACAGTTGGAGCTGAACTCGGAATCCGAAGTCGGGACCCCCGGAGGCCGGGGGCTGCCCGTCCGGGCCCCACTGAGCACCCTGAACGGCGAGATCAGCGCCTTGGCTGCAGAGGTGCGTTGAGTACGTTAAGTCGCTGGGGGGGGCGTCCACGGGGTGGGGGTAGTATGTCCGCCCTACTTTTCGGGCGCGTGGATGTTTAGGAATGTCCAAAGAGACTGGAGAAAGCTCGTTCCCCCATCGAGTCTCCTGGACAAGTTAGGGGGCCGCCTTATCCTTTCCAGCCTGTCGGTCCCACCTCTTATCTCTCGATTTTCGCAGGCGGCATGTGTTCCAGCCGATGACCGCATCTTGTGTCGCTGAAGCCTCGAACTGAGGGACCGTTGGACCCCAGCCCTCCAGGCGGCACGAGGAGCTGTCCTTTCCCGCAAGCGCCTCGCAGGAGCCGCGAGAAAGCGGACTCATCCACCACCTGTGGACCCTTGGCTTGAGATCTGGCCCCAGGCTAGGGGGTTGATAAGGGGAAGCCCACCCTCTCTCCACACCTATCAGCCCCCAGAGACTTCGGGGAGGTTAACCACCCCCGTGCCTTTCTATTTTTTGAAAAGCAGACATTTAAAAAAATGGTTACATTAGGTGCTTCTCAGATTTCTGAGGAAATATTTTGTATTGTATATTACAATGATCACTGGCTAAATATTGTTCTACAATAGTTCTATGGGGGTGTTTTTGTTGTTATTAAACATACTTTAGATGATAAAGCTTGTAATGACTTAGATTGAGGGAGGGGCCTGGGAGTGACTACCATTTTCACAGCTGGTGTTGGGGGGGTTGTGTTGGAGGGCCACATCTGGTCTGTCACTCTCACTGACCTGAATGTGTCCGGTGCCTTTAAAGTCTATTCTTCCCTTTCCCTCTTCCCTGGCCATTTCCCAGTTCCTGGGTGTCATAAAATTAAATCCTCTAGACCTTTAGTATAGTTTCTTTCAAACAGTTCTCTGGGCCATCTGGATCACCCAGGGAGGTTGTTAAAATGCAGATGAACCTGCTGTAGGGGCTGTTCTAGCCATTCAAGTTAGAAAAGCAGGTCACTGGGCCATCCATCTTCTGACCAAGGTGGGAGAAGTGAGACCAGGTGAAAGAGGGCTTGCCTAGGGTCGAAGCTTGCTTGAGGCAGAGCCCCTGTTGCCCCTCTTCCTCAGAGAGCCACCTTGCCCTGGATGCCAGTAGGCTGCCCTAGGGCTCCCGTCTTGTCCAAGTGGGTAATCAAATTGGCAGAGTTAGGCTGTGCACAGCTGTAGGGCCACCTGCTCTGGGTCTGGACTCAGCCTCCTCACCCTGGCCCAACTCTGCCAGCAGCTCAAGCCAGCACACCCACCCCCCTCTGTGTGAGCTCTGAAGGTAGAAGAGGGTGAATGTCCCCAGCTCTAGGAAAGGAAAAAGGTGTCACAAGGGTCTTTCTGCCTAGACATGTGGCTTTGTGTTGAGAGCTAGCACATAGATAACCGGTAGTCCCCACCAGGAGACTGGGTCATCTCTGCAGGATAGGATATGTATGGTGCAGGGCCCATGTGAACACGTGTTCTGCAGAAAAGTGTAGATCCTTCAAATCTTTAGGCTTGTATGTTTAGCTTACAAGCATAGTGCTCATCCCTGCCTGGGTCTAGGTTGGTGGATAGTTTGTACGTTGGTAGTCCCAGAGTTACATTGGGTTACTCTGTAACTTGGCAGATTGAATGGCATCCACAGACCACTGCAGATTTAGGGCAGGGGTGAGGCAGCTACGTTTGGGCAAACTTTTCATCAAAAGTTCAATTCCCACCTCTGGGCAATTGTCAGTTAGGCCTTGGGGACATCATACTTGAGTTATTAATTCCCACAGAGAAACAGTCCCAGAAATGGCAAAGCCGTGTCCCACAGAGAGAACTATTGAGATATTTTGTCAATAAACAAGATATACTAAAGCATGTTCCAGGCCAGCCAGGTCTGTATAGCAAATTCTAGGCCACAGCTACATAGGGAGACTGCCCCCTCCCCAAACAAAACAAAACCCAAATAAACAAGTAAAAAACCAGAACCACAAGCCAGACTCTGCTCCAGTCTTTACCTGAAGGACTTCCTACACTAGTGAGGCGAAGGGCAGGATTCTGAGCTCAGTTTTACAACAGAAGAAACAAAAATAAAATTAAATTAGGAATTATTTGTTGAACGCTTACATTAAGTTGAACTAAGTGACAACTTGAACACCAAACCAGGTACATAAAGTGATCGCAGGCATTTTATGACTTTACCAAACAGCTTAGTATGTGTAAGTGATTAAATTCTTTGCTGGCCACTCTCCATCTGGCTATTTTATAGAACTAACCTCAGAATTGTCCAGAGTAAGTGACATCAAGGAAAGAGCTTCCTTAGCACACACACTACCTGGCTCATACTGACAGAACGTATTCCTGGTAGCCTGTGTCCTTGGAGAGTCCTCGGAGGCACACCTGTGCACCCACTCCCTCACCACGTGCGGGTCCCCCCTTGCAAGCCCACCCACGGGGATGTGGACGTGTCCCCGCGCGCTCTTCTACCCTGCAGGGCCTGCTTCCAGCCCAGCGTAGGAAGGGGCCGCGGCGCCCGGGCCACCTCCCCCGCCATCCAGGCACAGAGTGGTTTCCACGTTTCCCTCTCTTCCTCTTTGGCCCGGGCCCAGCCCATCTGGAGGCCGGCTCCGCGGCGGCCTGGGAGCGTTTCCATCAGCTGGGCCCGAGGAATGCGGAGCTATTTAACCTGAGCATCCCCAGGTGTACCGAGGCGCCTGGCTGTCTGGGGCCGCGGTCTTTGGCACCCCCGCGCTAGACAAACAGCGGCCGCCCCCGCCCTGCCCCTCCGCCCGCAGCTGCAGCCAGGCCTGGGAACCAGCGGGCGCCGGCGGCTTGCATAAGAGGCACAGGAGGAGGGAGGGGGCCAGAGGCCACTACTCTGTGTGTGTGTGTGTGTGTGTGTGTGTGTGTGTGTGTGTGTGTGTGTGTGTGTGTGTGTGTGTGTGTCTCACCCGAGCCCTGTGTGTGTGTGTGTGTGTGTGTGTGTGTGTGTGTGTGTGTGTCACACAAAACCCTGCGTATTGTGTGTGCACCCCCAAACTCCCCAGAGGGGTGTGTGTGTGTGTGTGTGTGTGTGTGTGTGTGTGTGTAGTGTTTGTGCACTCCCAATCCTCCTCCTTTGGAAACTGCCCCTTCCTGGACAGGGTGCTGCCAGGAGCTGAGCAAGGGAGGAAGAGAAAACCCAATACAAGTTTCTGGGCCCTGAACTCACAGTCTTTATCTTATTCAACAAACAGTGCTTAGCTTAATGCCTGCTAGGCACTACCCTGTGCTTGATTACTTAGCCAAACAGCCAAGAAGCAATTAGGCACTATCCTAAATAAAATATCAATTCATTTAACCCCTACTACTTTAATGACTCAATGCTGGGTGGGGGGCGGGGGTGTTGTTTTATTGCTTTTTTGTTTTTGTTTTTTTTAGAGACAGGGTCTCCCTGTAGCCCCAGCTGGCCTGGAACTCACTATGTAGACCAGGCTGGCCTTGAACTCACAGAGATCCACCTACCTCAGCCTCTGCATCCTGGGTGTGGACCACCATGCTTGGCTCCCCAATACTATCTTATGCTCATTTGAGTAGCTACAATAGGGGCTGGAGAGATGGCTCCTAAGTTAAGAGTGCTGGCTACTCTTGCAGAGGCTCTGGGTTCGATTCCCTGCACCCACATGGCACATGGCGGCTAGCAAATGTCCGTAACTCTAGTTCCAGTGGATCTGACGCCTTCCTCTGGCCTCTAGGAACATTGCATGGGGAATCAAACCCTGAGCCTCCCACAGGTCAAACAAGTGCTCCATCACCAAGCTGGATCCTTTTTTGGGGGGTGGGGGGGTCTTATTTTTTAGCCCCAGCTGGCCTGGAACTCACTATGCAGACCAGGCTGGCTTTGAACTCACAGAGATCCACCTGCCTCTGCCTCCCTAGTGCTGGGATTAAAGGTGGGCACCACCAAGCCACATTCTTAACTCCTGTTCTTTTAAGACAGTCTCAATCTGTAGCCTGCCCATATGTAGCTGGCTTGGAACTCTGTATCCTTGTGCCCTCTGGGATTACAGGCTGAACCAAGAGGCTTGGGAATTCAAGGTCAGCCCACCTACATAGCAAATCTGAAGCCCACCTGTATTCCAGGAGATCCTGTGTCAAACAACATCATCAACAACAAAATCTGACTGGAGCCAGGAAAGCTGAAAACAATCCAGGCTCTCTTAGTAGATGTCAGGTCCTGTGTGACCTTCCTCTGAGAGGACACAGGTCACACTTAGGCATGGTCTTAAACAGGTGGAAATCAACCAAATTCTGTCAACCAACCAAAGGTCTGGTTCTTTTCAGAGACTTGAAGGATCATCAAGCCCTGACATCTAGATGCACCCTATCCCCCATCCCTAGGGGTCAGGCCAGCAGTGCTTCTAATGCACATACCAGTCCAACGCCTGCCTGCCTGGGCCCTGAGCGAGCCATCCAGCCCCAGTGCTGACTTCATGTAGGTGCTGCTGTGTCCCCACCCTCCATACTTTATTTTTTTAGGGAACTGGAGATTGAGCCTAGAGCCTTACACTTGCTAGGCAAATGCTCTACCATTGAGATACTGAGATACACACCAGCTCCTCCTTCCTTTAAATACTTTCTCAGGGGGCTTGGAGAGAGGGTTCCGCAGTTAAGAGCACCATCTGCTCTTGCAGAGGGCCCAGGTTCAGTTCACAACATGTTATGTGGCAGCTCTTATCTGTAACTCTAGTTCCAAGGGATCTGATATCTTCTTCTGACCTCTGCAGGCATTGCACACACATGGTATACATACATATGTGCAGGTAAAACACTCATACACTTAAAATGAAAATAAATAAATCTTTAAAAACATATATAAATAAGGGGCTGGAGAGATGGCTCAGCAATTAAGAATATTGGCTGCTCCTACAGAGGACCCAGGTCCAATTCACAGCTAATAATCATCTGCAACTCCAGTTCCAGGGGATCTCACAGCTTCTTCTGTCCTCCGAGTGCACTGCATGACATGGGTGCACCTACTTACATGCAGGCAATATACTCATACATACAAGATAAAAATAAATAAAATCATATAGATATATACTTCCTCATTCTGAGGCCCAGCCTTAAAATTTTCCTTTTTTCTCCTCCCTGCCCCTCAAGACAAACAGGGTCTCCCTGTAGTCCCAACTAGCCTGGAACTCACAATGCAGACTACACTAATCTTTATCTCACAGAGATCTGCCTGCCTGCCTCTGCCTCCCGAGTACTGGAATTAAAGGTGTGCCCCACCATGCCCAACTTACTTTTTTTTTTTTAATATTTCAATTATTATTTTTATTTTATGTGTATGTGTATATTGCCTGCATGTAGGTAAGTGCACACGTGTCATGCAGTGCCCTCAGAGGACAGAAGAGGCTGTCATATCCCCTGGAACTGGAGTTACAGACAGTTGTTAGCTGCTATGTGGGTGCTGGAATTTGAACCCCAGTCTTCTGCAAGAACAGCCGGTGTTCTTAACCACTGAGCCATCTCTCCAGCCCCCCACCCCTTTTTTTTTGAGATATGGTCTCCGTGTAGCCCCAGCTGGCTTGAAACTCACTATGTAGACCAGGCTGGCCATGAACTCAGAGATCTACCTGCCTCTGCCTCTGGAGTGCTTGGTTCAAAGGCACGCATCACTACATCTAGCT